TTTAAACAAAATGAATTTTTCTACATTACCAAATATGGTATGGATTAATTGCCTAATTTCGACTAGAATTATTTTACTGATCAATCAAGATTAAAGATTGTTACAGATAAGGTGTCTGAAAGAGTTTATAAATCATTGGATGAAAGACAAATTGAATGGCTCGATAAAGTTCTCAAACAAAAATCCTGGATACAAACAGACGAATTTAAGAAATATGTAAATCAATTCACTGAAGATGTTTGTGATAGAGTAACCATTCCATGTATAGTTTGCAAGTCTTTTGTAATACCAATTGAATCATTCAATTCCTTTCGTCATGAGGGTCATGACGGATTTTAATACATTTGTAAGTGTTTATTTGAAATATTTAACAATCACAACAAAATGCTCAAATAAAATAATCTTTCTATAAATAGTTCTGAGAGACTTGAAGCACCAACAAGAATTGAAAACAAAAGCCTTGATTATGAAAGAACTTATTCAATAGATACAACAATATTTATTATAAATCAATTGTTTTGTATGCACCAAGACATGGTCGAACTTGTATGGTAAGTACCAATTCGTAAAATTCAAAATGATAAAGCTAATTTGTTATTAATTTTTCTTTTTGTTTTATATAGGATTGAGTTAACAACCCCCATACAAAAAATCACAAAATTGATGGACTTATTAAAGTGATCAAGTCAAAAAAAAATCAAGCCATAATTATATTCGAGTTTTCATATGGAAGATGAGCACCTTTATCAAAGGAAGATGGTGATGAGGTTAAGTTATGCAGGAATTCTATGTGAATTCTAAATAACCTATTACAGAATGTATCTAAAGACAAAGCATGCATTTATTTGGTACAATCTGCCAGTAAGTATTTGATTAGATGTTAAGTGGTAAAAAGTTGTGACTCATAATGTTCATATTTTATAGATGGTTTAATTAAAATAAAATATTTGATTCATCTAGTGATGTTAGCTGGCTAATAATCTGCATGCATAATTTCTAAATTTGGTAATATATTTCTGCATTACTTTCTTGTTATAGAAATAAAATTACCAATTTAGGTAGTAAACGGCTTAGCCGGCTAAGGATTTTTAAATGGCTAACATCACCAGATTCGTCCTCTACTGTCAATTTATATTCTTCAATCATTCACAAATATTAAAATACCAGTATCATTCAACAATTTTGAGCAATTTGCAAAAAACATGGTTGATTTAATGAACTTTCAGGTACAGATTAGAAATGTTCACATATGATTTTATCAAATACTAATAATAACTGACTTTGTTATTACAGGTTGACATGTTGTCAACAATTAAAGTGATAAATAAAGTTGTGACTAGACCTAATCATATCGATACAACTTTGGTGGAGGATACACCAGAAAAGAAAAAGAATGTGGAAAATAAACCTTCATCTCCTAAGTCACCATCTGGTGGTGGATCATTTTCACCATTGATTTGAAACTATGTATTGTCAAGCGATTAGTGTTACAACTGTGATTAGACCATCAATTTCGTATCATTACTGTAATATGTATTTGTTAGTTTGTGTTGTCTTTTTTAGCTTAGGTGCAGATTAAGGTTTCTGGTCCAAACTGTTTTCTCAAAGCCCAAACTAGTTTGGGCAATTTGGGCTTCTCAACATTTTCTAT